ATATTTCAAATATCACCCAAAACACGCTTTTGAAGAAATTTCTTACAAAAAAGATTTTACAAAAATAGAAAAAAATAATTTTTGAAAAATGTTTTTTTTAATGTTTTTAAAAGATTTTTTGGGAAAAAAAAATTTTTTTGGGAAAATAAAATTTTTTCAAAGTTTTTTTTAAATAAAATTTTCTGTTGTAAAATATTTTTCAAAATGTTATCTTTTATGCATGTTTCTTATCAAATTAAAACCTGTTGTACATTACATTAAGAGTTTTTTCTGTAAAAAACTTTGTTAAAAAGTCAATTTTTGTGTTGTTTTTCATCAAAAAGTAAAAGATTTTGATGAAAATCTTTGTAAAAAAAAATTTCAAAATCGTATCTTTTCTTGCATGTTTTTCATAAAATTAGGGCATTAGAAAACAACAAATTTGAACGTTTTGTGTCATTGTTTGGTTAAAAACTAAGAATTTTTGACAAAACTTTTTGTAAATTTAGTTTTCAAAATCTCAAAAATGATTAAAAATACACTCATGATTTAAAATACATTTTTGTTATTAAAACTTAAACATACTTTTTTCTTTCGTCAACTTTTAATCACAGTAAAACACGATACCAATAAGTTCCTGAACAAACATCCGAAAATAAGTTTCTCAAAAATGATTAAAAAACACTCAGTTGTCTTAAAACAATTCCAAAAAAATATTTTTTTTTTCAAAATTTTTTGAAAATGCTATATTTTCATGAGAAATATGCAGAAAATTAAAATTCCACTGTTTTCTAGTTTATTGTGTTCCTGATGTTTTTGAATAGAAAACTCCGGAAACTATAACAATTTTGCCATTAATAATCAATACAAAAATTGATTAATCCGTCCCTAGATGATTGCTTATCCAAACTTTTTCAACAGCATTTTGTATATACTGTAAGTTCATACTCAAAATCAATGAAAATCATTGGCTATAACAAAAAAGATAAACATAACTGAATGAACAATATACTATAAATAGGAAATGCAATTTCATTCATCCTTACCTGTGCTGAAGAGTCGCGATGACGCAGGTGGAGGCTGGAGAGGAGGTAGAAGGAACAATAACATCCATTAATTGTTTGGAAGCCAGGTCTGAAACACGATCGCCATTTTCATGCTTTCGTTACTTCTATTGTGGTTCTCGCTGTTTTGTTTCTTTTCGCCTTTCTGCCTTCGTTAGATCTTTTAGATCCGATGGTGATTTATGGAATAAAACACAAACAAACAAATAAAAGAAATAACAGTCACTGTTCAGTCACTTTACAGCGTGTACACGCCGAGCCCCAGCTGAGGCAAGAGTGACACCACATGCTCGATCACTGGGATCACGTGCTGCCCACGTGGTACGGTTGGCTTTTTCGGCAACCGAGTTTTGGAACGGCAAACGGGGAGAGTTTTTGTTTTAAAACAAAAATTTCGACAACCGATTTGCTCGAAGACCGCGGTTCCACTGTATAGAATCAATATTAATAAATACCAAATACCAAAAATCTATTTTTTGTGTTTATTGTAAACACAGAAAATGACATAGCGACACATTTTAAGGCAAATGACAGCATTTTTTTCTATATTTTTTAAAAACGTATCAGTATTTCACTCTTGAAAAATCGGTATTTTTAATCAGTATTTCACTCTTGAAAAATCGGTGATATACCAAAAAATATTTTTTTAAGACAAATTGGTGCATTTTTTTTAACTTCTGGTAAACTTTTCAGACATTTTCAGAAACATATTAATATAGTATGTTCTTTTGTGGTTGTGGTTGACATAGCCAATTGTTTTTCTGAAATTTTAAGCAGGAAAAAGAACATAACTACATGTTCAAGTTCAAGTGCTTTTTATCTTCATTTCAGCCATAAAGTAGTACACAGTGTAGTACACAGTGAGATACAATTAAGTTTCCACAGGAAATATAATAATATAAATGATCATTTAGAACATATTGGTGTCATTATGAAATGATGTTTTCAAAATAATAATTTAAAACAAACAAAGATCATTTAATTTAACATATGCTGTTTATTTTTTTTTAATTATCAAATAATAATTTCATATCAAAGAGTAAATTAATAGACTTGAAATCTATCCAGTTGTTGATAGGTAGGATGACTAAACATTAACCAAAATATCTAGAAATATTAAACAATCATTATTGTAATTTTGAAATTGTTCACTATTTTTCCACTTCTTCTTACTGTAGGAAAAAAATGTAAGTTTTGAAATCATTGTCATTGAAATCATACTGTGTTTGATTTTAGTAAAAATGTAATTTTTTAAACACTATTTATGAAAACCCTCACAGATCTAGTGTTTTAAGAAAGGCAACTGTAGACGGTGTTGTTTTTTTTTAACAAAAGGCAACTGTTGTGAACTTCCACCAACTCAAGTCATTTTGTTGTAAACCTCCTTTAGACTCTCCAAACTGGCTTCTGGTCCGTCCTCTGAGGTCACATATCCGGGGTATATGGGGTAAAATTGGGGCATCCTAAGTTTGCTGTTAATAGCTCCTGATTCCGATGCTGCGGGTGGATGTAAAGGTATCAGCTTGGCGTGAGCGTAGTCGATCTCAAAACCCTCAAAAATAAGCCCCACTCCTGAGGCACCTAACGCCTTCTCGAGAAGCTGTGCCACGTTCTTTGTTGCCAGAACCAGGCCTTCATAATCAAACTTCTCAAGTCTGAATATATCAGAGGTCATAGGTCGACGTGGAACCACCACAGTTAAGCCAGGGGAGTTAGGAAAAGGTGTGAGGAAGGCCACGTGTGCCTCGTCTTCCCACACTCGCCACTGCTGCTCCTCCCCACGAACGATGCGTGAGAAGAGGCCTGGGTGTGCAGGGTCGTCCCCCAAGAATGTCAGACTAGGAGGAGCATCGGGAGATGGAAGTTTGGCTCGAATCTTGGTTTGAATCTCAGTCAAACTGGAGTCACTCCATTTTGGCGCAGACTTGGAGGTGCAGTACCCTGGGTCACAGGGATTGTGCTCTTCCTCTACTGCCAGGTGAGGGCGCCACTCTGCATCGAGACCATGTAAAGGGAGGACAAGGATCTGGGGTAAAAAAAAAAAAAGAAAAAGTGCTTTTTAAAGTCAATTTATCCGACATTTAAACTCATTGTAGTAAAACAAAACATGCCTTTCACAACATAACCATGAACCTTGAATGTCGCACAGTCCTCACCTGAGTAGGTCTGTCACTGTGGGGTCTGCTGACAAGCGCACATCTCCGAACCCCTAACCTGTCACACAGCAACTCTGCCACAGCTCTGGCCCCCAGCAGCCACGACAGGTACTCTGGTTCCGGCAGGTGGAAGATGCTTCCTCCAGGGCTTCCATGAGAGCTGCGTTCCAGGATAACAGACCCTGGGGTCCAGGGCCGAGGGTGGAGGTAGGCCTGCAGTCCCTCAGACTCCCAGATCACAAGACGGGAAACAGCGGAGGACATTCTTAAAGGAAGTGAAAAAGATCTACATGTGAGAATAAAGTGAAATGTTTTTTGTAAAAAATAACTTTGATGTCAATTCAATGTAATGAACCAATGGAAAATATAGCGTAGGTTAAATTGGTTTGAAATGTTCTGAAAAACCTTTTAAATTAATGTTTAAAAAAATCTTTTTAATAAATGACTTACTACAAACGGTTTGAAGTAAAGCTGATACTCTCACGAATTGACTAAAACTACACTTTATCTATTTAATATTTTAGCAATGTACAATAATATTTGTTGTTGATATTTGTATACTTAAAAGCAGAACTGGTTGTTTAAGAATCGCTTACATTACATACACTCAGTATAATAACGTTGTAAACATTGTGCCAGTTAAAAACAATACTACATACTAAACGTTGAACGTAGAAAACCGACTAAATGTCTTACGTCTTTACTTCTGACTTGATTACTTAAACCAAGGTTCATTAATAGTATTGGACGTTTTTTTATTCCACTTGCCACTCGATTAAGATACTAAGATACTATAAAACTATACTATACTATACTTTAAAAATGACATTGTTTTAAAAACACAACGTCTTAAATCTTCCTTTAACAGAATGACGGTGGCGACGTATTTGTAGCGGTAAGAAAACCGACTAAATGTCTTACGTCTTTTTTAACAAACATAATAAAGCGGTTTCATATAATCTTACACGAGTTTACAAACATACAATCTTACATACCTTCTAAATAATACGTGTAGCATAAAATACCGTAGTCAAAAAGAAAAATCACAATTTGTTGTCTGTTCCTCTTCACAGGAAAAACCAAAACATTTGGAAACGAATTACAAACTTCCTTCCAATCTCTTCTACTACATCGATTCTTTGAGGTTTAAACTACATTAAAGTTTTATTACTACCACCTAGTGGACTGGAGTAGAAAGTAATGCTTCGCCAGAAACCGGAAGTTTCAAACAACCACATATTTTGGTGATATTTAAGCAAAACATATGATGTAACAACATTATACATGATAAACGATGTTTACGTTTATGGTATAAATACAGTAAAAATAAATTTAGGAGATTAAAGTCGTGAATTATGACAGATTATAAGAGTAAGATTAATTCGTGAAGTAATTTTATGAAAAAAAAAGTTTCAGGGTGAAATAAAGTCGTAATTTTAGTATATATCTACGAGAATAGAGTCGTGAATTGACGAGACTAACGTTGTATATTTATGGAAATAAAATTAAACTATTTTCCCTTACCATTCTCTGATTTTATTTCATTTATTAATCGTTGTTTATTTATTTTTGTATTTTTCTTTAGCACAAACATTAAATACTTACTTGGGGGAAAAAACAATTTAAAACAAATTCAAAACATTAAATATTTACTTGGGGGAAAAAACAATTTAAAACAAATTCACGAAAACTGCATGGCCATAACTCACATAACTCAGTAGGTCCTTAGTTGATGTTCCAAAACAATGACGCCAGAGGGCGCCTTTGCCCCGTGATGTAAATTGTTCCTCTGCAGGGACAAAATGTTCAGAAATTAATTGAGACACAATGAAGTGAAGCTTTTATCTGACAACGAGCTGAACAACTCTTCGTCTTCTTCTTTCATAAAGCATCGAATATAAAAAATAAATTTAACATCAGGAAAGAAATCGAATGTTGCACAAATTAAAAAACAATTAAGATGTTGGGATTTGTTACAAAATGGAGACGACAGTGTTGTCAATAAAGCCTGGACCTACGAGTAGAAAATGAGAATAAGGTGACACTGGTTGGTTTGCATGTGCTCTCATGTGAGCAACGGCAGTGAGACTGTCGTCCCACTTTCCCCCAGTAAATCTTCCTCCTTCATCTGTGGCCCGTGACCTCAGTAATGAGCTCAGCTGCTCTGAGATCCTCTGAAGAGAAGATCAGCTGAGCACCGGTGTTGGGATTCACTCAGAGCAAAAACGACACAGGGTTAAAGTAGGTGAAAGATGACAAAAAATAAACAGTTTAGGTTAACCAGGTTAGGTCAACATATCAGGTTAGCCCATGTGATTTTGTTAAGACTTAAAAAAAAACAACCCAGGACTTAAGGAGTTCACAAACATTTGAGTTTAAACTGGACCAAACAAACTGTAGAATGAGCAGAATTATCATCAGAGTAAAGGAAGAAAATACCAAGCTCTGTTCTTCTGACATAATTTCAGTCTATGTAAAAACAACAAATGTTTTTAAAGCTGCAGCTGTAAATGTTCTCAGTGATACCAAACCACACCGCAGCTGGTCAGATTGATAGAAAACAAGTTTCATTTACTGGCACAGAGAAAAGGAAGTGAAAAGTATCGGTTGCTAAAGTTTTTCCTGAAACAGGATGTAAGGTGACAGCAGTGGGCAGGGGAGGAAATGATGACATGACCTACAAGAAATGACTGGAGGAAGATTCTGTAATATTGAGATAGAGCTGAAAAAAAAATCATCTGATGTTTACTCAGTTGGGATTTTTAATTTATTTTATTTTATTTTAAAGCGGTGTGGTCTAATTGTTCAATCAGCCGACATTAATTCTGTCTCCACCAGAGCAGCCAAGGACAAGACACAGAGACACTACAGCGTCTCTTTTTCCCCCAGACGTGATCAAAATACTGTAGTTTTGTGGTCAGATTTACAGTTCCTTCTGTTTCTTGAGCTTGTGCTTCATCCACGTGTCCTCAAAACAATCTCTGGATGTGAGGAAAACATAGAATCCTGCTCCAACAATTAAATTAAATTAAAATTAATTATTGTCATTCCTATGCAATATCTACAGTAAGAGTTATTATTTCTCAATAACTTTTAACATTCTAATGTAACACCAGGGCAACTAAAGAAGGTTTTTTTTAAAAAAAACAAAAACAAATTTCCCATCAGGCATTCTCTCCTCTGTCCTGAAGAAGTTTTTTTAAAAAAAAAAATACAAATATCCCATCAGGCATTCTCTCCTCTGTCCTTTTCTGTGACAATATGACCAGTGTCCAGTGCAGAAGTGAAGGCCATAAATAAACATTTGTTACATTTTTAATGAGCCACAAATAGTCTGGACTTCATCCTCTGGGCACGACATCAGAACGTGTCAGATTCCTGGGTCGTCACTCTTGTACAGTAGACACACTATGAATAGTCTGACAGCCTTATACCGTGTTTCACCTCTCTGTGACTCAGATACTATCTAGAAGTGCAGTGATCTGTAAAAAAACAGAGAAGTACCTGTGAGTTCCAGGAACGTCTCAACAACGCGTGTCCCAGACCTACAAGGAAATGGTAGAAGAAGAAAAATCATAACATGACAAACGTTTTCACAGGGTCAGCTGCAGCTGGTGAAGTTGGTTATCACGGTGCCACATACAGAGACAAATAATCGTTTATACCCTCCCAGTTAGGAGGATAGACTAAATTACAATACAGAATACTGCAACTTTCATGTTGGTGACAGAGGCAGTAGCAACCTCACCACTAGGGGGCCAGTTTGCTGGAGGGAGGAGAGAGTCATTATTACTGCAGATGAAAATGCCATGCTTTGAGTTTACAATAATATTTGTACATTGTATTGTGTTTAATTATTACTAGTGTAATGTTCAATAGATACATTTTTGAGCATGAAATATATTTTAAAAAATTGTGATCCAAAAGCTAAATTTTCAGTGGATCAATGTGGCTGTAGCACAACACTGTAAAGTACAGTAAACATCCAAAGAAGGAAAAAAAAAAGATTAAAAGCAAGTCTGGGCTCTGACTAGTGAACGAAACCTCATGACTTCACACAGTCACACAGATTCATTTACTCACACTGCTGACTGAATTAGCAGTGTGAGTAAACCAAGTAATGTCACTGCTGTGATATCCTAATAAGCAGTGAAGAATGTGACGGGACCAGAATAATCTGAACCACATCGCCTGTGGCCTGTGGCCTCGCCCGCCTTCATTTAGTTTAGTTTTAAGGATTATTGCTTTCCTTGGGACAAATTAAAGTCATACATCTTTCTAAATGTCAGTGTGAAGCACATAAACAATACAACCTGGTCGTCTGCAGACACCGGACTCTCACAGCCTTGAAAATAGCTCACATGGAGGTGACAAATATTTCCGAAGCCCCCGCGGCCATCCTCCTTAGTCATGCTGTGTCATGCGAGCAACGCAAAAAATGGTGGTAATATTATCCAACACTCAGTGCACCCAGTTCATTAGTTGTAAAAAAAAAAAAAAAATAATTTAAAGACAAATGTCTGTTCAGCACATGAAATATTTATAATAAATCAATTTCACTTATAACTTCAGAGATTTATGACAAGTGTTTATCCTCTAGTCAAAGTGCATTCGTTTGACTTTTTTGTTTGAAACATGTCATGTCATTTAAACGTGATCTTGAATTAAATGCATATTTAAGTAATAAATATAACTATCCTGAAAATAAGTTAATTTTCACATTAAATTATTCAACATCATTTTCCCCAGCTGCTAATCTTTCATGGACTCAGAGCCGTGATGAAGTTTTTACAGCTACAGTTTCAGTGAACTCTTATCAATGTTTCCCCATGAGGGTGAGGTCTCACCACAGAAGAATCTGAACAGGTGTGTGTAAAATAAATGACTCAACTGTGTGTAAATAATCATGAACCAGATAGCTGGTTTTTAAAATTAAAAAAGAAAAAAAAAACTCACAAAGACTTAAACTTCAGTACAGACTAAAGTTTATTAGAAAAAAAAAAAAGGGGGGGGGGAGCAAAGTAATTTTACAAGCCAACACCTTCTCTAAAGACTGAGCTAAATGAGAGTTGGTCAAGTTTTATCCAGCATTAAATAAAAGCCACAATCTGCACTCAGGAAAAGGACAAAGAAAAAAAAAAAAGAAAAAAAAAAAGAAACAAGAGAAAAAAAAAATTGCGTAACATCAAAATTTCTTGAATAGGCTCGAGGCCCCTTTCTGGACTTCAAAATATAAAGAAGAAAAGTCAAGAGTGTTGGGAATAGAAGTGTGTAACAAGGTCAAAGTGGTTCAAAGTTACTGACAGATGTATTTTGGACAGGAAGCTGAAGCCGGGCTGTGAACCAGTTTTGGGTTTTTATGGGATACAACGGGGAGCTACAATGGTTAGGCTTTGCTAAGCTAAAGTATAAAAGACAAACACCGTGTGTGTGTGTGTGCACATACATGAGAATCTAACAGGGGACTGAGAGACAAGCATGTACAGATGCTTCTCCTGACTAACCCTCAGCCCCCTGTTCTACACTAATCTCCTCCAGCTTTTCCAGGCTCTCCAGCTCTTCTCTGTTCGGCAGTCAGTTTCACTTATTCAGCCTCACACGCCACCTTCACCTCATATCCATGCAAGTTTTGAATTAGGAAACACAACCCCAAGAGCAGCTGACTCAGGCCACAGGTTTGGTCTTGTTACGGCGCCTGCGAACTTCCTCCATCAGATCTTTGAGATACTGGATTTCTCGGCTGATGGACTCTGCTTTCTCCGCCAGCTCCTGGTTCCTCTTCTCAAGTTCTTCGCACTCGACGGTCAGCTGCTCATGTTCAACCCTCTTCTTCTGTCTGTAGCGTGTAGCTGCTGTCTTGTTCTGCTCCATCTTCTTTATCTTCTTCTCGATCACCTTGGGAGCGCCTGACGCTGATTTGACTTTTGAGGCCTTGGCTGAGGGAGAGGAGCCGTTAGAGGGCTCTGGTTTGGAGTAAGGCTTCGTTCTGGAGGAGCCGGCGGAAGGCGAGGGGGTGGGAGGAGGAGATGGGATGCGAGGCGGGGAGCCAGGCAGAGAATCAATCCCTGAGTCATCCTCACAGTCGCTGGTAGGAGGAGACTTGATCGGTGATTCACGGAGAGATATCATGGGAGGCTCATCTTTGTTGGTGACCACTACAGTAAGCTGGACAGTGGTGGGAGGAGACACAACAATGTTGCTGGTGGCCGAGGGGTTCCCACTTGGATCTGAGACAATGGTGGCGTTGAGAGATGTGGCAAACATTTCCACATCCATATCACTTTCTGACTCCTGTGTAAGAGGTGAAGAAGGAGCTGGAGAGAGCGGCTCAGACTTAACGACCAACTCCTGACTCGACTCTAGGTTCTCCTGTGCTGCAGGGGTCACTGTGTCATAGGAATCTAGATCGAGCTCCATGTTGGAGCTGAATGACGCAAGGAGATCCTCAGAAGAACTCAGGGAACCATCAGGTGAGCAGGAGCCGATCAGAGAATCCAGGTCAAAGAGACTCAGGTCGGTCTTGTCCAGCATCAAATCAATGCCTGCAAAGGTATCATCTGCCAAAGGAAGAAATCTCAATTAAAAACAGTGGTTTTTCTTTAGCAAGACAAATACAGACTTGAAGAACAAACATGCAGTACTTTAAACCTTGTCAAGAACAGGTATGTTATCCACAAGACACTCATTAACTGATTCAATAAAGGAGCATTTAAAAGCAGACTAATCCACTTTCAATTTGGCTAAGAATACATCTTGCAGTAACTTCTCTGAACAATTATTCTACAGGAGCACAATACATCTACCTTTATATCGTTCAAAAAACAAACAAACAAATACTTTAACTTAGATATATTTCACTCAGGGTCCTTAATGAAACAACATTTCAAACTTGAACACCTCATTTTTAAGCAGTTAGAGTCAGCCTTACCATTGCCATCATCTACTTCAGTAAGCTGGTCGCTTGCACCCAGCCATGGGAAGGAGTCCACTCTGACCTTGGTTTCAAAGAATGAGTCGATACTGGCAGGAGGAGACGGGGGTGGTGAGAGGGTCTGGAAGGACGACATGGACGATGCATCAGAAGAGAAAGAGGGAGAGGGCGATGCTGGAGACTTTCCCTCCAGAGAGGAAGAGGGAGAAAGAACTTCTTCTTCATTTTTGTCCAGAAGGGGCCCCATGGGGTCAGCCATCAGAAATGAGTGTTCTGTTGAAGGATTGTCAGAATTTGAGACTTAATGTAATCTTCACACTCGTGACATACGTTACTAATCGTGTCTATGGTATTTGAGTTATTTTCCTAGTAATGTTTATAACAGTGCTTCCAGAACACTCAACAACACCCACCTAAGCACAGGGCCTCCGCGTCCTCCAAAGCCCACTGAGTAAGCGTCATGGCTGCAGCTGTTCAGTGATAGCAGTGAAAAGCTGTATGCAAACAAAGGCAAATCTGGTGATGGTAACGAGTCGAGGAGTTTGGTCCTGCTGTCGATGCCAGCAAAGCTGAGGGGAATTGCCAAGACAAACCTAGATTGAAAGGAAGCAGATGAAGTTCCATTAGATTTCAAGACAATGTCGGAGAACTGCTGAAAATACCTCCATTAGATCTAATTAGATTAGATCTGAAATGTCTTTGACTGTTAACAGACAGAACGGGACTACTGTTATAGCTGTTGACTGATGGAAATACAAATTTCCACAGCTGCACAAACTTGTCTAACATAATACATTTTTTAACTTCCTCAGTTTTTCTCACATTTCTAATGTATACAAACTGTTAAGTGTGTCAGGGAAACTGTTTATTTAAAATAAAATAAAAAAACCTTACGCATAAGTGATTGCATTTTTTCTCACTTGCAACTTCATATCAACCAAAACACACAGACACGTTTTAAGTTGGCCAAACTTCCTTTATCGTAAGCATTTGCGTCACTGGAGCGATTAGCGATCAGTCTGTTGGGTGGGGCTAAATTTTCTTTTAACTATTCTGTTCCAGTGATATGTAACAGCATCGTTGACGAAAAATACCCCGCCCTTCACTGGTGGAACGACATTTCCTAATTTGGTCATGTTCTGGTCACTAATCCCGCCCATATCCGTGCTAATGTGGGAGGACACCCGCCATTTTCACAACACAGCCTTGTGTTTCAAGAACAGCCCCGGAACGACCGCGCGCCATTTTGGACGCCACGTTGTCAATAGTTTTACACAAATGACCACAAACAATGCGAACAGATGATGTTTAACAGAATACAACCAAAAGGGACAGGGCGAGAGATTTTACACAACGGGCGTATAAACGACTTTTGAAGGTGTAGCGGCGGTAAACAAGATAACGTCATAAATAAACGTCTAACAAACTGTCGGGCGGGGACTGCTCAAACTGTGAGGAAGACTTTTTTATTACTACAGAAAAGACACGATAATATTAACGCAGACAATCATTACCACGTCGACTGTCGCCATTTACTTCATTATTTATGATAGTAAATATATGCAGCACAATGAATTTAGTGAGAATATACTTACGCCATTTTGCCAGAAACTGCCAGTGCCAATCGCCAACGCACTGCCCTTTTATTGCCACAGCCAAGTACCGCCGCCGCACGCCTTTATACAGCCATTATATCGCTTTTAAGATTTGTCTTTGGGAAGTTTAAATAACAGAGCTCTGGTGCATTGACCGAGCAACAACAATCAGAGAACACGGGACGGGAAACGCATTACAGTTAATAGGCGTCACTCTGCCTTATAAAGACCGATGCACTCATGGGGTATTCCTCCGCCGTACACGTCACCACAGTCTTGCGTTTGATTGGCTATATGCAAATCAGATACATCGATTCATATGGAATTACATGAATTGAACAGACTACCCTGTTATATTACCTTTTTAAAACAACAAAAATAATAATAAATTATTTGAATTATTTAAATTATACGAGCAAGGGGCAGAAGAGGTTGCGAGAGTTTCTGGAAGGAACACATGAGCAGTGACGTGCACAGACATTTTGGGAAACAGGTGCTCAATGAGAAATAAGGACATGTATATGCTCCAATTTTTAATTTTTATATATAAAGAATTTAACACCTGTTATATTTTCCATAAAAGTTTGTTTCGTGTTAAGAATTTTGGGCAAACTTGAGACCTGCGATCACTTTAAAATTCAGAAACAAAATATCTATAACTGCACTATTCTACTGACATTCATACTATGACTATTTTTTTGCACTTCGCTGGGTGATTCTTGCAACAGACAGTGTAATCCTTTGGGCCCTTAGTGTCCCAGCAGCAGCATTTAGCCCCAGTTTGGCACAACCACTCGGGATTCCTCACTGCAACCGTCATGAATTCTTAGTGCACCACAGCCACCTGGTGGCCAACTTTAGCTATGGTCGTGCTACGAACCACTGTAAGAATTACGGCAATTTATACTGTATTTTTTTAACACATTCAATGCATCATATTGTACCGAGTGGAAAATTTATTTTTGCAAAATCAAAACTATGTTTGCATGTACTCAGGAACAAAAATATTAGAGAACTTAATCAAAATACATTTGGAAGTGAAATGCCAGTAACTCTCACTTCTTAGTGCCAACAATTTTTGTAAAAAACAAAAAACGCCCAAGATAAAAGTTGGTCTAGAATTCCACTTTGAGCCACAAATGCAGCATCGGCGCCCTCTCGTGTACAATACTGTGTGCACTTCCTTTTTACTCAACAGTTCTGCCAAAGAATTCCTTTTGAAACTTCTGGAAGTCCTCTTCCGTGAACAGTGACTCAGGCTCCGCAGGTTTCTTGGCCTTTTTGGTACGCTGTAGGTGATCTCTGGCTTTTCTTCCTAGATTGTGGTGTTGGATCTAAGTGAAGAAAAAAACAATGACCAAGAAGACAAATTTGAATAGTCAGAAGATATAATAGTATTTTAAAAGGATGTTTTTGTAATGTAACATATGTATATATAGTTATGTATATTCATACCAAAGTCTGCTACTCTTTTTAGATGTGAAAACGTGATAAAAAACTATCCTTACACTGTGACTGGAATCGGACATTCTAAAATACATGTTAATATAAATGGGTATATAAACATATTAAATAAAACACTCATATATTGGCATTGAAAGTATGTATAAGTTAAAACATGCCCAAATTGACCTTTGGGCTCCATGCATAGTGTACTAATCAATGGGCTGGAAGCTACAAGTTACAAAAAAAACTAAAGTAAACTGAAAATAACACTGATAACAGAAATGGCAGGTGTGTGAGAAACGCTACTGTTACCTTTGAAGTATCTGAATCTGTAGCTTTGTAGCCAGTATTCAGAAAGTACTTGAGGTTCGCATTCA